CAGCCCAAGCGCAGTAAGAGAGCGCGTGCTCTTACGTACGTGTGGATGCATGTATTTGTATGTGTGCATCAAAGAAGTGCAGAATGATTAGAATATCAGCTTGGAGGGTTCAGGGTATCTCCTAGTCGAGCAGTCTCGACTTGAGCACTTTTACTTGTTTTACTACCATTTTTAAATAGACTGCATAATACCCGATTTTCAACGCCCCTAGAGGTATCGCATCGTATCGAAAAGAAACTCAGCCATCTTAAGAGACCTGGGTACACCTTAGAAAAACCCAATATAGTTTTTCGCTTATCTAACGAGTACAAACAGTTGGAGTTGAAAACTTTCTTTTTGTTATTATTAATTATACAATTTCAAAAGGAAATTTCGGAATATATTTCAGTATATGATTTGGATATTTTAAAAACATATCTTAATAAATCGCAATATCTGAATTTTGCGTATACATTAGCTGCTACGACTTAAACGATTACAGATACAACACAACGGCAAAATTTGCCTATGTACCAAATTTTATCTTGCGCGCGTACATACATACAAAATGTATAAGGGTATATATACACGGATCCAGATACTGAACTTATACACATCCTTCGCTTGTATAGAGTAGTCACATAACTATACACATCTGCGTGTGAGTGTGTGTGTGTGTGTGACTACAATCTGTAGATGGCAAGCCGTTTGTATATATATGTATATGTATATAAGTGTGTATGTGTGTGTGTGTATGTGTACGTCTGTTTCGAGAAAACGTCTAATTCTCTAAAATGTGAAATTTTACAATCGCCTAGCGCACATCTTACCCTCCATCTACCGGCGCTCCCACGACGCAGCATCAACTCGAGAGATGTTGCCGTTGCCCGGACAATCCACCATGCTCACACCAAACTCTAGCCATCAAGTCGTCTGTCCCGTCTCAGTCCCAGGCAGCAGCAAAAGCAACGGCAACGGCAACGGCAACAACAACGGCGCGTTGCTTGACCAGAGCCCACTCTCAGTCCACGCTCCGTTCAGTCCGTGGCAACTACCCACAGCGAGTACGGCGGTCCCCAATCGCGCCGAACTCCCACTCACGTACTATTTGCGGCATCGTCCGCTATATGGCACTCACACAGTCGAACTTCCCCACTCACACATAGATCCGCTTACACGTACACACACACACTCATACAACCCCACTCTTATCCTTTTCACATGTCGCAAGTAGTATGCAAACAACATTTTGCAGAAACAGTTCGTTCCTTGGTCTTCGTTTTATCTTCATGGCAGACCCTTACCTATTGTGGGACTGACCAGTGTTGTTGCCATCGCCATCACACCCGTACCGTTATATAAGTATATGGATGTAGATGTGGATGCTACTGCTTTCGAAGCTTGATTTAGCTTTAGCCTCAGCTATAGCTACGGCAACGGCAGTGGCGGCAGCAACGGCTTCGTGTGTGTCCCCGGTGCTTCTAAGAGTAAATGCTTAGTGGGTTCATATGTATGTACAGATGAGTGTGCGTGTGGGTATGTGTGTGTGTGTGTGTGTGCTCATGTGTGTGTGTTACTTGTTGGAGGGTGATTCCGTACTTTTGCTTGTGTTTGTGCAGATGTCCGCTTCAAAATTCGCATACACAGCAGTGGTCAGCTATGGAAATTATCGATCGACTCGCCTCTAGCGCCAGGTGGTTGGGTGCTATGATGGAAACGTGGTGATGGCGGCAGCGACGACGGCAGAAGCAGAAGCAGAAGCAATCTGCACTGCGCCGCAAGTTGCTGTGCCATGTGTGGATCCTTCGTCGTACACTTGTACTCGCAGTGGTAAGGCACGATGGGACGAAGGGACTCACATTCAAGCTAAATGGCAAGAACGTTGACGGCGGCGGCAGCACCAGCAGCAGCATCAGCATCAGCAGCAGCAGCTAAGAGATGCCCAAAAAGAAATTGCGGACATTTACATTATGTGTCCATGTGTGACTACCTAGTACGTCGGGCATCGCTAGCTACGGCTAAGTGTACATGAGCCTGACCGTATGTGCTTCTATATACACTGGCACACAGTGAAATATACGTGGGTCGACGTCTGCTAGCGATGTGTCCTCTTGTACTAGTCCAGAAGTCCAGTCGTCCCGATGTCCGACCGTCGCTTGCCTGCCTGCCTGCCTGCTTGCCTGCTTGCTTGGTTGCTTGGTTGCTTGGTCGTACGGTCCGGTCTAGGCATTGAACTCAGAGGTCCCCACATCTACATCAAAGTAGAAAGACCAACGGAACAGGACTCCGTTCGTAGATGGACGGTGCGAGCCATAACAACAAGGCAGACGAAGGAAACGAATGACTAACGAAGGAAATTGCTGATATTGTATGGAGCAAAAGTTGTGCATGTCTGTCTCTGGCAACGGCGCGCTTTAGTTTTGACAGGACCTAGAAAATCTCACTACCAGACCACATCACACACACACACACACACAGTGACACATAATTACAAACATGAATATACACACACAAATGTGTGTATGTATGTATCAAATACACATGCAAATAGGCGCGGACATTGCAAGCCGTCGTGGTACAGCTGTGTCCGGCATCTTGGCTTAGTTCGGCTCGGCTCGGTGCTCCTTTTTATGTAGCAAGTAGTTTTCCCCGTCTCCTGCTACATCAAGGCGTATGCAATTATACAGCGACAACTGACCAAAATGAAGCTACGTATATAACACAACTATGGCAAGCTGACTCATCTGCACTGAGCAAGATTGAATTTGCACAGCTTCCATCCACATACAAATTTACCTCGATAAGATGCGTTTTTAGTCAGTTTTAACTATTTTGCTCAAATGACAAATATTAGTAGGTTGGTTAGAAAATATGTTTTTAGTTAGTTCTCACTATTTCGCTCGAATGACAAATATTAGTAGGCTATTTCTATATCGGATAATAATTGAGAATCCTTTTCCTGTAACTTGCAATGTTTGTCTCAAAAATGCCATATTCCCCATAAACTAATATCTTCTGAAGATTAATACAACTTCCTTTATTATACCTAAGTGCAGGCTACCTTCAAATTCTTGTTGCAATCATAAATTTATTTCTTGATCCCATTAAATTAAGTTAACAAGATGAAGGACGTACGTAACAGGTAAACGGCATAAAGCTCAGGGCTGCATTCTCGGATAAAACATAGACAATTCAAGAAGAGTCCCCTCCGAGGCAACAGGTTGAACTATCATCATAGATATGAAGGACTATACTTATTTTAGTTCCTTTTCAATTTACTTTAACATGTTACGTACTGCACTTCAAGCTATTCAGTTAAAGTTATTCAGATTAAATTGAAAGAAAATAAATTAGTAGAAACCAGACAAATATGTTTCACTCTCTAGTGCTCTAGAATAACCTCGGACAAATACAAGAAAAACAGTAATTTCAGCACTGTATTAAGATTTTTTTACATATGTATATTTAAAATAAAATCAATTTTGTATAGCTCCAGGGTTAATAAATATTTCGATAGGTAACGCATTATTCACTTAATATCTCGAAATCGACTGTGTAAGACAATGCCCCCCAATTAAACTGTTAAGCTTTGCAAAATAGAAACATGCCGAGAGCTAGGCGTGGAATGGGGGACTAACTGCATTCAAAAATTGCAGGCGGAAAAAAGCGAGGTTTTTTCGCCAGCGAGTGCCGTGTCAAAAACCAACAAACATTCGAAACACACATCACAAGCACTTTGCACGTCTATACAAGCCTAATCGGCGACAGTATCACATGACGGCCAAAAGGCCACATCTACATCCACCACATGTCGCTCGAGCTGCACGCGAAGACGGCAGAGGCAGCGGATGCCGAGGCAGAGGCAGAGGCAGAGCCAGAGCCAGACAGGATGCTGTTACTGCAGCAGAAAAAACACAGTCAAGTGCATCAAGCTGCATGCCACTGGGCAAACAAGCGGTTTCCAACTGACTGCCTAATCCCCTTAAATAGCGCGGCCGGCCAGCTCCAGCTCCAGCTCCAGCTCCAGCTTCAGCTCCACGTCCGAGGTCCTTTTTTTTTCCCTCGCAGTGCCTCGCAGCGCTTAGTGAGCTGTGTGACGACCGCAGTTTTTGTTTTTACCGCAATTTTGGCGCATTGGCGAAAGGCAGTTGGCACACGAAAAAAGTCACTTGATTGACCTTCGCATACGGCTGCAGTTTTTTCTCCGTTGGCGTCAACAATATCACGGCAGTTGCCAACTAAATTTCCATATGGTGCAATTTTGATGCGTGCTAACGCAGAAATGACGTTATTCATGGAAAGCTATCCGAATTTCTTTTCTTTTTTTCCTCCGCCAACATAGTGTGCACTCCTTCTGCATCGCGTTTCGCTCGAAAAGTGAATTCTTGCGTTTTGTTTTCTTTTTCTTTTTTTCGTTTGCCCTGCTGCCATTTAAGTGCAACACCTTTTGCGACGGCCATGGAAGTGGCAGAAGCTCGTATTCAATTTGACCATGCCGGGAAAAAATGGTGGGCATTCAACAGCTGCCAGTAGCACTGTCACAGATACGGCACGGCGCCAACAGCAGTCAATAAATAGAAATAACGAAAGCTGAACTATCGGGAATCGACTGGACGACTGCTGCTGGGGCAATTTGAATTGCTTATTAGTTAACTGTCATTACATATATGATTGCGGTAAATTTACTTAATAATGAATTCAGTCGACTTCTGCTTTCATTAGATGGACCTCTCTTGATATTCTGTATATCTGTATTGTGAAGTCGAGTAAACTAAATTGTGTCCTACAATTTTTGTGCCACCAATTCTAAACTATGAAAATATGTTTAATGAATATATTTGAAATCCCGCTTTTAATTTTTATACCCTGAACCCATTGAAAATGGGAAATCAGGGTATAATGGTT